CAGCAGGGTGTGGGGTTTGTGTGAAATGGGTGAATGGGATAAAAGGCATCAAATTCCAGTTAAATAAGTCTCAAATATGCAATGTGCAGCATGGTGATTATGATTAATAATACAGTTTCGCTTATTTGAAAGTTGTTGAGAGAATAACTTATAAATTCTTATCAAAAGAAAAATAATTTATAACTGTGTGTGTGACGGATGTTAACTAGACTTGCTGTGGTGATTATTTTCCAGTATGTAGAAATACAGAAACGTATAATGTTATAATGTTAGATATGTTATACCTCAATTTTAGAAATCCCAAAAATTTAATGAAAGTATTGGTGTAGTAAATGTCATATAGTACATATTCCCAGGGCAATTCCCCTCTTTATAGTGTGCATTTCTAAATTTTATAGGCCTTTTGTAATTACCATCTATTTTTTTAACGCGCAGAAAAGATACTAGAATATAAAAGATGCAGATTCAAGAATCTTCTAGTACTTTGCTAATGAGGATGGTAACCTTGAGCCTTATGCTATCCTCTTAAACTGTCATGTCATACATAACACTGAGATTGTTTGAAAACAACCAGGCTTAGCACTTACTGTCATTTCAAATTTTGCAATTAGCGTCTTTACCTTTCATCAGAGTTTTAATAAGTCTATTTGGATCAGTATTTTCTTTTTCTTTTTCCTATAATGGCAGATGTATTGCTAAATTTTAAGCTAAAGCTGACCTTTGGTCATCACACAACTAATATATACTATATTGTTGCAGATACACCTTGTGCTAACTCAAATGCGGTATTCTTAAACAATTCCAAAATCACTCACCTTAAGTAAGAGTATTTTATAAGTTGCATAATGAATGTCCTTTGTCTGCAACACACTTCATCTTTTGTAGAATTTCCTTTAGAAGATGTAACTAAATGCAAACGTGTAATTATGAGATGTTTGTTATAAAACATTTATAAACATTTTATTTTGAAGGAACACTATAAATACCGTTGTTTCCACAGTATAAAAACTGTTTCTGTATTTTAAGTCTTAAAAAAATAGAACTTTAAATGTCGTAGAATGATAATATAATAGAAAAAGTGATATAATTGGTCATAAGACACTAGAGCTTCTCATGTTATCAAGATAATGCATGTTTCTTGGATTGACAGTTTTAGAAGCTTTTTGATATCTTCATTTTTATTGTGGAATAAATTGTGTTTGTGTATGATAGGACTGATATGATGGTTATAGAAAAGATTTTTGTGACATATACCTTCCTTCTATGATTGTACAATTTAAAAAATTGCACGACATTGAGTCCCTTTAGGTTTTTTTTTCCTCCAAATGAGTGCTCTAAAAATGTCACTTTGATTTAAAGCATAATGTCTAAAAAGACATTATTTATGTTCTTGATACAGATTTCAATAACATGCTGAGTTTTGCTCTGGTTGAATTTTCTCTGTATCTTAAAAGAAATTGCTGAAAATATTTAGATGTAAGATTTTCTCAGATTTTATCTTATAGAGAACAATGTTAGAATTCTGTAGAATATGGGCCTCCCTGTTGGCACAGTGGTTGAGCACTGGGCTGTGAAGCTGCCCGCAGCCTCTGCAGCGCTGGTTCCATCCCCAGCCACCAGTGAGGGTTCCACATGGTGGGCAGACCTCTCCTGCCGCACCCGCTGCTCCCCTTAGCAGTGTACTTCATCAGTCTGTATGTTCTGCTTCTGGTTCTGGGGGATTCTCTCACCTTCCTGCATTTCAGACTGTACCCAGTGCTTGTATAAATAAATAAATCTTTAAAAAAAGAAGAATTCTGTAGAATAAAAGCAAGTAATCCTTTTAATATTCCTATAATTAATAATGATAATTATAATTTTAAATATAGAGTTATATTTAAGTATCTGTATATACAAATAGTTTTAGGGTCTGTCACTTTCAGGACCATAGGTGTAGCCGCCTTATTTTTATAAGTGAGGAGGTGCTAAAAAACTGAATGATGTGGCTGAGAATAATTGATTAATTATTGTCATGTTTGATATAAAAGTCCTGGTTTTCAGTATATATGTGTATGTATGTATATACACCATATTATCACCAGATTTAATTTTTTTCTTTTCTCAGAGTAGCTCATTTTGCCCTGGACGTTCTTGAGTTTTTATTCAAGAAAACAAGGCAATTTCTGACAAATTATCACGATGCCTGTGACTCCTCGAGAAGAAACCTATTGGTTTCTTTCTACTCTTGCTCATTTATACATTGATTCCAGAGTGAAATGAAAGCTAAATCAGCAGATCTGGGAGAATATCCCAAGCACATGGTTTGAGAATATACATGTTAATAGTATGACAGATCTTAGTTATATACTCAACATATCCAGTTACTGGAAAATTCCTGGAAAGATGTTTTTGAAAGATATTCTGAAATCTTCTGATTTATGATAAATTTCAGATTCTGAGTTTTCACACAGCCACGTGGGCCACACTAAGATACAGAATCCTCAGTGAAGTAGAAATCTTGTTTAAATAATAAATCCATTCTAATGAATGAAAGTCGCGTTGAATTTTGCATGTTGTCCAAAGGTTTTGTTGTAATCAGATGTTTATTAGATATATTTTCAGTGATAACTTGGAATTGTGTATTGAAGGTGACAGTTGGCTGTACTCTGTTCTATTAGTTGACCTGAGGAAATATCAATGCTTGTAGTAATTACAGTTAATCAACATTAAGAATTATTCTTAAAGGCTAATTTCTTTATCATTAAATATATCTTTTGACCATTTTCCATTTTTTAATATGACCATTGACCATTTTTAATATGACCATAATATTATTAGTCAAATATGCTTTAAAAGATGCATTCCAGAATTAAATACACGCTGTAATAAATCTTATGATGCCCACTTCACTTTCCTTCCTCACTCCCTTACCCTGTGCTTCCCCCTTCCTCTGCTCTTCTTTCTAAGGAAAGAAGCATGTGAATTATAGAGAATTCTTTGAACAAAGAGCAATCAGAGTAGTTGAAGACCCATATTTGTCACATCGTGGCAGTCTGCAAGAGAAACAAAGGAGGAACGAGAATGTGGGACAAGATGCTATGAATAAGAGACTTTCAAGTGGTAAAGGAATGTGAGACTCATAGGACCTTAGAGTACTAGAATATTAAAAAGAACATCTGATTTTTAATAAGTTGCTGTGTGTTAAGACTTAGATATCACTACCTCCAATCCTTAGACTTACATATTTTATGAGCAAAAACTAAAATTCTCATCTACTCACACAACCTTAAATGTGATTCTGATCAGAGTGTAGACTAGGAGTATGACTTTATGAATCTAAGATTACTTGGGTTTCATTTAATTAAAATAGGAATCAGAAGGTCAAAATGTTGACATCAGATTTTCTATTACCTTTCTCACATCCAATTCTGTCTCACTCATCAGGTCTCAGCTAAAATATTATGTTATGGAGAAAGTGTATATAGTATTCTACTTTTACATGTATGTATACACACATACATATGCACATGTACGTATGTATGTATGTGTATGTTTAGACACACTCACAAATAGAATAATAGAAATATATTATTTAACAATAGCAATAATAATATAACCTATATAATATAATGATAATATAATATAATATAATATATTATATTATATAATATTATATAATATAATAATATTATAACCTATCAGTTTATGTTAGAATTTAAAGGAAGAGTAAAATATAAAGTAACAAAAAGCCAACTGGGCATTCTTCAAAGTGTTTAAACCATTTTTATTCCCACAACAGCATATGGGAATTTCATTTGCTCCATATCCTCCCCATCTGCCATTTCTTTTTTTTTTCTGATTTTACGTGTTCCAGTGAGCATAGAGTTGTCTGTCTTTCATTGTGATTAAAAAAAAATTACAGAGGTGACGTTTGTTTATAACATCATATGGGTTTTAGGTATACAGCATTATTTGTCATCAGTGTATGCTACGTTATGATTCCCATCAAAAGTCTACTTGTATCCACCACCCATACAATTGACCTTTTTTGCCCAGTTTATCTACCCACCCTCGCCTATTGCCCTATCACTTCAGTGACCAACATTCTGTTCTATAATCTAAGAATTTGTATTTTGTTTTATTTGTTTGTTTGTATCTCTTTTTAAACTTTCAGGCATTCACCTTTGTATTTCAATACTTATGTACTACATTCCAATCACCATCAAAAGTCACTTGGTGTCTGTCCAGTGCCATACAATTAATCCCCTTTACCTATTTTACCCTGACTGCAATTTCCCTTCCCCTTTGGTAATGACCATTCTGTTGTCAGGACTAAGGGTTCTTTTTGTTTTGTTTTGTTTTTTCTCTTGCCTTGTTTCATTATCTTCCACACAGGGGTAATATTATATGGTAATGAAATCATGATTTTAATTTGCATTAAATCTTGTTAAACACTTTCACCATTTGCTATTCTTACTTTCTTTTTTTTTTTTTTTTTTTTGTAAAATATCTGTTCTTTTGCCCTGAGAGAAGATTATTAGCCATGGTAATAACACCTGAAAGGGGGTGGGAGGAGCCTCTTTACTCCCAAAATACAATCATGTCAGCTTACCTCAAATAAATAAATAAAATTATAAGAAAGGAATGAGATCCCTCAAAAAAAAAAGAAAATCATGTTGAACACTTTGACCTTTCCTGTTCTTCTGTCATTTTTTTGTCAAGTATCTATTCTTTGGGAGAAGGTTAGTAATCTTTTTCATTTATATATATAGTTGTATATATTTTAGATATATGTTCTTTGTCGAATATGTGTATAGTCATATAATCATGCTTGCTTATTCTTTTGCTTATGTAGTTCAACAATAGCAGTAACAAAAGAATATTATATATAGAAGATACTGGCACATTTAATATTTTTAAACTGGCCATTTCGAAGGAAATTAATCAGTATTTAAAAAACAGACTTTGTAGTTTAAATTTAAAACAAATATTGCACTCATTCATTCTGTTTTTGGTTTCAGGTGCAGTTAAAAACTAGCATTTCTAGTCAGTATGTCATTCGGACACAACCAACGAATAGGTGCCTTTCTACGCTGGAGTGTGCAGCTCTTGCTCTTTCCATCTTGGAGAAAAATAATTCCATACAAGAGGTATGTCTTTGGAAAGTTACACAGTTTTTGAAAATAGGAGTTTGGTTAGATTTTATCTAGAAAATTTAGTAAGGCATAACATGCCGCAGACCAGCACAGCGATGGACGATGAGGCCGTCTCAGGGTTGAGAGATTGCGCAGGGTGGTCAGGGATTCGATGAATAAATGACACACAGACACACTTGAAGAGAGTGAAAATCTGAGTGCGTCTTTATTAAGCTAGTGGTCAGTATATATATGTTTTTCTAAAAGCATAGGAACTGTGAACATCAAAGAGATCAGTTTGCTCATAGACTTAGCTTAATTGACAGGGCAGTGATTTATGTCCGAAGTTACATCTGGACCTAGCCTCATTCCTAATTGGACAGGCTATAAATTCTTTCTACTGTTTTATATAATTATTTTCTAGTTGCACTAACTATCATTTTTACTCATAATTAATTGTCATGGGTGAATTTATTTTATAATGCAGTTAATATCAAAGGTACTAAAGTTAAGCACATAATAGAAAGATTATTAAACTAACAATTCTATTATAACACAGTGTTTAGTAATGTTTCATTTGCATTAGCCTAATTATTAAATTATGTATGTTTTTTAATTAGCAATCAATGACCAGAAAAAGGAAAGATTTTAGAAAGACAGTTGTAGCAGAATAAAGTTTGTGGGCCTTGAGAAAGCGAGATAAGGTTCCAGGTGGTCAGCATTTCTTTTAATCATCTTTGTGGCCGCTTTTGATGGTCATTATTTCTTGGCAGGCATTCAGTTTCTCTGCATCTTAGGGAGTTTGCTGTTCTCCCCCTGCGTGCATGGTTCCTTGCCCACGCTGGACCTCAGGGACCATGGCAACAGCCATTAGCCCTGAGGGTCACTGCAGGGGGGGGTGCAGCAGGTCCCCCTTTGTTTTTAGAACGAAGTTGGTAAGCATACATGTCACACTGGATGCGGTAGATGGACCTGTGAAGTGAGCGGACACAGAAGGGAATAAACTAATAGAGAAGCAGGACAAGTAGGGAAAGAACAAGGAAGGAGAGAACAAGATGATACCAGTGATGCAGTTGTAGGTTTAGTAACGACTGGAAAAAGAGTGGTGGCTGGGCGGGAGAGCAGAAATTCCTTTAGAGAAACGCTGTATAGGAGGTTGATCAGGATGATATACTGCCAAAATTCCAGAGGAGGAACCGTCAGTAAAAACAACGGCAGCTCCATGCAGAGGCTGTGAGGAAATAATTCTTGGAAAAGTAAAAGCAGTTTCCGTCGCAAATTTTAAAATAGGGTGCTGTGGCAGGTGGAATTTGACCTGACCAGGAAAATTGAGCAAGGCTATGCCCCAGTCATCATCATTTTGAAGCAGAAATTCAAACTGTGTTCTAGTATATGGGACAGTAATAGTGGTAGGAAGCCTGGCAAACAATTCTTTAGAACGTGTCAGCCCTTTCATTATGAGAAATGCACACATAGATGTATAAGATGTGACCATTTTTGTTTGATTGTGTGCCAAATAAGTAATTCCCATGGTGATGAATAATCAATTTGAGAAACTTTAGCTTCAGAAAGTTTTTGTTCAACCAGGTGCAGTTTTGAGAGAGCCTCGGGTGTCGAGGACCGAGGTGATTTAGGGTTAGGATCTCCCTGTAATATCTGGAAAAGAGGGTGTAAATCACCTGTAGTAATTTTAAGATAAGGACGAATCCAATTAATGTTTCCAAGTAACTTTTGAAAATCATTTAATGTGGAAAGTTTATCAAGGCGGATTTGAAGATTTTGAGTCATGATGAAATCATCATGAATAGTTTTTCCCAAATAGTTAAGTGGTCGATCACGCTGAATTTTATCAGGAGCAATGACAAGACCAAAGGAGGTCAGGTCAGTAATTACACATTGTAAAAGCGTTTCCACACCTTCCTTAGAGGAGTGGCTCAGGAGAATGTCATCCATGTAATGAATGATATATGCATCAGGAAATTTATGTCTGGTAGCTTGTAAAGCCCGATCAACAAATTTTTGACATAAAGTAGGAGAATTTTTCATGCCTTGAGGCAGGACTTTCCATTGAAAGCGTTGCCAGGATTGGTGAAAATTTGCAGAGGGAACACTGAAGGCAAACCTAGGAGAATCATCAGGGTGAAGTTTAATAGTGAAAAAACAGTCCTGCAAATCAATAATTACGATATGATTTTGTTTTGGAACAGCTACAGGGGAGGGGAGGCCTGGTTGAAGGGCTCCCATGTCATGCATTGTGTCGTTAATTGAGCGGAGGTCCTGAAGAAGCCTCCATTTTCCTGACTTCTTTTTAATTACAAAGACAGGAGTATTCCATGGACTGTTAGAGGGCTCTAAATGTCCTTTTTGTAATTGGTCAGAGACAGTGTCATGTATAGCCTGGATTTTGTCAGATGTAAGGGGCCATTGAGGTATCCAGACAGGATCATTGTTTTTCCAAGCAATTTTATCAGCAAATAAATTTTCCGCAATGGCCCCTAAGAAAAAGCCTGCTCATCAGTTAGATCAGGAGCGGTGAGAGTTAACCCCATGGATTCCATTATGTCACGGCCCCATAATGAAAAGGGTAAGGAAGGAATTACATATGGTAAAAAAAAAAAACCAGCATGTCCAGTCATTTGCCAATGTAAAAGCTGAGAGCTTTGAGCTACATTGTTTGCCATGCCTAAACCAATTAAAGTAGATGAGGAATTAGTAATGGGTCATGAAGGGCATAGAATTCTTGTACTTCTTTTCCTACTTTTTTCCAGGTTTCTAGTGATAAACTGTCTTCTTCTGGAAACCATGGGCATACCCATATTATAAATTCATAAAGTTGCAACAAAGCTTTTTTATTTACTTTAATACCACGTGTTTCAATCATATTTTTCAGTATAGAAAGAAAAAGATCTCTGTTTTTGGTCTGTGCTTGACCCATGGCCTCGTGGTGCTTTTGTTCACTCACACAAGAGCTTTATTTCAACTGTGCTGTCCGGCCCGTGTCCCTCGCGGGAACTTGCGGAGGCGTCTTAGCTAAGGTCTGTCCGTATAAACCCCGGACCAGGCTGCTCCAAGGAGCAGATGACCGTTATGCCGTATGACGTCCTCCACGGGAACCGCGGGTGCAGCCCACTCAGACTCCGTAGCTCTAAGGCCGTGGAGCCGTATTCATGCACTCTCACACACACTCAGCACCACGAGTATGTTTTCAAGTTTAGAAAAACTTCTCACTGTCTCAAACTGATCACCCTTTATCAGCGAGCTCCGGACGCCCCAGTGAGGATTCTATCCCTGACTGTCTAAAAAAGAAGGGTATTTTAGGAGAAATTCACTCACACACTCACACAAGAAGGAGATAGCTTACCCAACGCAACCTCTTCGTTACTTACCTCTCCTTTGGGTGAAAACAATGAAATGAAGGTCAGGCCCCACGTTCGGGCGCCAATAACATGTTATATTTGTAGCTGACAAGTAGAACTTTTCTGTGATAGATATTTGGTCTTTTATAACCTCCTTTCTTTCCCCTCTGGTGTTTTTCTCTATGTTACTGTAGCATTCCAGATTGCATTATTTAAATACTCATTCTAAGTTGTATAAACAGCATTTGTAATATGCTAAATTGCTTTTAAGTGACACAACATTAAATACAGTTTTGGGGGGGTCTAGATTTTCCTTTTAATATTTTGTATTTCTCTTTTAGTAAGAACATTTTATTGCAGTTTTTAAATTTTTGCATTGGTATTTTCACTTGAAGAGGTATGCCAGCTTTTGGTTTATCTTATTAATTAGCCTTGCTTATAGTGCAAAAAAAGTGTGGGTTTTTTTTTTTTTTGAGAAAAACATCTGCAGAATATGAAAAGGTTATAACCTGCAATCATTTCATTTAATTGAATTTCCATGTAAACCTGGTGATTTTATATGTAATTAATAATCAACTGCAAAGAATAACATTTCAGTGAACTCACCAATATCTCAGTCTTTTGAAACTTGTAATATTTTGTATTTTAGGCAAAAGAAAAAATAATAAAATAAAACTTAATTTGTTAGGATTTTTTAATCACAGGAAATTTTTGATAAATACAATTGAGAAAGGTAACTCAGAATAATGAGCATAATTAAATGAAGTTTTATAAATACACACACACACACACACACAGTACTCTTTCCTGCCTTTTTATTCTCTCTCAGTTATACAATATGGTTACTATTGTAAGGGTTTGCCTTAGTCATGAAGGAAATTTCAGTAATGTATAAAAGCTCAGGTATGAGTAACTAGATTAGTTACCACGAAAAAATTGACAAAAGCCTTCTAGAACAAGGAAAATTAAAGAATGCCAGATGCAAGAATCGAGTTGCCTTTCCCCTCTTCATTTACCTTAAGTCATAGGAAATTTCAGAGGTAGAGAATTTTCTTCCTTGAAAGAATGGCTTTCATGAATAGGTTTTGTGTGTGTGCTTGTGTATGTGTGTGTGTTTGTATGTGTGTGTGTTTATCTATATGAGTAGACTTTGATTTAAGTTGAGACATTTTCTGTTTCTCTATTTTCTCTTCTTTGAGAAAAAAAAAAAAAAATTAAGGGAGTCTGGATTCTTACCTTAAGAGGCCTGGGAGTGTTCTCAGACTTTTCTTCGTCCCCTCTAAGCTTATTACCTGCTCTATGTACCTTTATTATACCTTTATTATCCCTATTATACCTTTATTATCCCTATTATCCCTATACTGACCTTTCAGTTTTTGTACAACCATTCCTGCATGTTCTTGAGACAAAACTATGCTATTTCTAGGTATCTTAAAAGGAAGATAAAACCTAGTGCTGTTGTTTAAACTTGCTTTCTGTACAGTCTGAATTTTCCTATTTATTGATGTAATGGCATTCTAGGATCATCCAACATCAAGCCTAGGACTTATTAGTGCTTGGAGTCTTGAGGGAAAATATAGTTTTATTTGGCTATAGATTTAAATTTTTTATTTCCTCTTCTGTTGAGTACCCCCAAAAATTCTCTATAAACTGAAATCCCATATTTCTTAAATTAGAATTAGATCTTGACTGTAGTCTTAAATATAACCTTTAATGTTAGTAGTGATTTATGCTACTACTACTAATGCTTCGATTGCACCCCACTTTCCTAGTTTTGAAAAGTTTATTTTCCTGATATTGATTCATATACTGTCACATCAGAAAACCTGTGTTCTTACACCAGTAAGAGTGGCCTACATTAAAAAACTATCAACAGGGGGCCCTCCCTGGTGGCACAAGGGGTTAAGATGCAACCTATGAAGCTATCCTCAGCCACTGCAGCACGAGTTCGATTCCCAGCCGGCCAGGAAGCTACCCACATGGCACAGCAGACCTCTCCTGATTCGCCCACTGCTCCTCTCAGCAGTGTATTTCAGTCAGTCTGCCTATTCTGCTCCTCTGTCTCTGGTGAATCCTCTCCCAGCCGCGCCCCCAACACACACCTGTGGTCTACACCCCAGTTCTTGTATGCATAAATATATAACAATAAATCTTAAAAAAAAACCAAAAACAAACAGGGCCTCCCTGGTGGTGCAAGGGGTTAAGCACCTCACTGTGAAGCAATCCACAGCCACTGCAGCACGAGTTCAATCTCCAGGCCGGCCAGAGAACAACCCACATGGCGCAGCAGACCTCTCCTGTTGCAGCTGCTGCTCCCCTCAGTAATGTATTTCAGTCAGTCTGCCTGTTCTGTTCCCCACTCTGTCTCTGGTGAACTCTCTCATCCCCTGCATCTCTGGCCTGTACCCCAGTTCTTGTATGCATAAATAAATAACAAAAAACCAAAAAACTAACAACAAATGCTGGCGAGGATGGTGAGAAAAAGAATACTTTTACATTACTGGTGGGAATGCAGACTGGTCCAAATAGTATGGAAAGCTGTATGGAGAATGCTCAAATTACTAAAAATGAATCTACCATATGGCCCAGCAGTTCCACTCCTAGAGATCTACCCAGAGGACACAAAAACATTAATTTGAAAAGAAACCTGCACTCCTATGTTTATTGCAGCACCATTTATTGCAGGTTGCTATGGAAACGACCTAAATGCCCCAAAACAGATGACTGCATCAAGAAGATGTGGTCTATATACACAATGGAATATTACTCAGCAAACAAAAAAAATATAAATTTATGCCATTTGCAGAAACATGGATGGATCTGGAAGTGATAATGCTCAATGAAATAAGTCAGAAGGAAAAAAAGAAAAATATCAAATGGTTTCACTTATAGGAGAAATATAGCAGAAACTATACAAGGGCTCAGAAAAAAGAAAAAAGATAGAAGTAGAGGCAAACTGTAAATTAGAGATGTTCAGCAGGGGAAGGTGAGGAAGAGGGATTAAAATGGGAGGGAAGAACACAAGAGTCAATGGTGATGGTTCACAGGTGTCTTGGTTGTAGTAATTTTATGGGGACAACACCTGAGAGGAGAAAGCAAACATCATGCAAAAATAAACAACAATGTAAAAATATATAAATAAAACTGAAAAAAAATCAGATATAATTGGTGTATTAGTTTCAGGTGTACAACATGATTTGATATTGGTATAGTTCAATCTTTTGGGCCTTGTAAATAATATTGCAGAGATCAGGAGGAGTGTGTATTTTTTTGAGTCAGTTTTTTGTTTTTTTCATTTTCTCTGGATAAATACCCTGAAATTGAATTGCTGAATTATATGGGAGTTCTGTTGTCAATTTTTGAAGAACCTCTATACTGTTTTCCAAAATAGCTTCACCAATTTACATTCCCACCAACAGTATACAAGAGCTCCCTTTCTCCACATCTTCGCCAATACTTGTTGTCTTTCTGATAATATCCATCTACCAGGTGGAGATGGAATGTCACTTTGCTTTTGATTTGCATCTCCTTTGTGATTGAACAGGTTTTTATATTCCTGTTGGCTGTTAGTATGAAGAAATATTTCTTTGGAAAACAATATTTTTCTTTGGAAAACTGTCTCTTTGGACTTTTAAAAATTGAGGTGTTTGGTTTTATTTTTTACTAGTGAGCTATATACATTTTTTTTTATAGATTTCGGGTGATATACTTATCTGTGACATGATTTGCAAGTATCTTCTCCCATTCAGAAGGTTGTATTTTCATCTTGTTTATGGTTTCATTGCTGTGCAGAAGCATTTTAGTTTAATGTAGTTGTCTTGTTTTTATTTGCTTGTTTGGCTTTACTTTTGGTGTCAAATGGAAAAAAAAATCACCAAGATCAGGAGCTTTTTGCTTGTTTTCTTATAGGAGTTTTATGGTTTCAGGTTTTAACATTCAAATCTTCAACCAATTTTGAGTTGACTTCTGTGTATGGTATAAAATGGTGGCCCAAGTCCATTCTTTCACATGTGACCAAACATATGTGTGTGCTTTCGAAGAATGTGTATTTATTTGCTTTTGGGTGGAATGTATCCATTAAGTCCAGTTGATCTTACATGTCATTTAAGTTCAGTTTTTCTGATTTCCTTTTTTCTCTGGGTGACCCATCTATTAATGAAGTGGAATATTAAAGTCCTCTAAATTATATTGCTGTCCATTTCTTTCTTTAGGTTTGTCATTATTTCCTATGAAAATTTGGATATTACTATATTATGTGTATAAATGTTAATATCCTCTTATTGGTATTACTACATTTTCCCACCAATAACCTTTTATTATGGGCAAGAGAATAAAATCTTAAGATGATGGATGAGAGTAGTAATTTTTCATTTGGCTTCACTATATATAGATAGGTCTTCTCAAAATAAAGAACTTAACATGGAATAGCTTCCCTAGTCTGCTGATTCATCCTCACCCTTTGTTCTTTAGCAGTTTTTCAGGCATTTGGAAATAGCATGATAAAAAGACATATCTAGTGGAAATTGCATAATGTGAGCTGTGAAAGCAGATTTGAATTAAAATCTCATCACTTTGTTCTTGTTTATTTATCTGTAATCTGGCACCAGGCACTTAAGAAGAGTTAGCACTTTTGTCCTTACTTCGCCCTCTGATTCTTCCTGATAGATTGGCAAAACTTTTGTGCTTAAAGTTAGTGATATTTTCTTTCAGCTATACTATAATATGTAGTACTATAATATGTAGTACTATCTAGTACTATAATATGTACTAGAACTTTTTATACCTTGGAACCCTTGCGTTTGGGCATGTTTTGTTAATATAGAACTTTCTCTATTTTTTAAATTTTACCTTGTGAACTTTTAGTGGAATTGCATTAGCTCTACTCAGTACCAGCACATGGTAACAGAGGCCCCCTGAAAATTCTCACTTTGTACCTACAGACCAAAGAATTTACAGAACACTGATTTTATACCAGAAAACCTTTTAGAAATTAATTTTTTTTTACACAGAGGATTTTCTTTGCTCCTGGGAAATATCTTAGTGGCATGTTAAGATATGAATGTAAAGAAATTATTTAGAAATCAATATATGATTGTTAGAATGGCTAATGTTTTTCATAGTTAGGAACCAAGAATAATTTTAAGACTGACTATAATCCCTGTCTCTAAAAAAATATATAAATAGAATATCATGATTTGTTACTGACATTTTTCAGTATCTTTTTTTTTTTTAACAGACTTTGCTTCGCCCACTTCAAGCTTTATGCTCTTTCCAGCTTCAGCATGGTGCTCAAATTCGTCTCAGCAAGGAACACCTCCTGAAGAATGGATTATATCCTAAGCCCATGCCAAAAAACAAACGAAAACTCAGGAAAATGGAACTGTTAATGAATAGTGTTAAAATTTAGTGCACTTGTTCTTATGGTGCTAGTTATAGTGTCTTTGACTAACATTGTCAAGTTAAGTTTTCTTACAATATAAGTTTGTAGGTTTTTGATTACGGACTAAGAGTTGCATACTAACTTGCCCAGAAAGGGAAGCAAACCAGATAGCCATAAAATCAAACACATTTCGTTGACTGAATTAAGATGTCACACTGCATTTATTTTTTAAAACGTGCCTCTAATTCATTCTTTCAAATTCATAATTTAAAGCGTGGCTAATTGTTGAACTTGGTTAGACATTCTTGTTTATTATATTGAAGGAAGTTGTAACTGATTGGAACTATGTATTGTTTCTGTTGATGTTTATAGATCATTAGATGCAGACATGTAATAGAAGATACATCAATTTGCAGTCTTGTAAGTACACAACTTTATAGTTTGAAAAAAATAAAAAAAGACAATAGTGATAATCAATTGGTTTACATAGAATTTATTTATTTTATAATATAGTATAACTGATTAAAGAACTATTCTTTAGGGACAAAGTTTGAACTATTAGTTGCCCTGACTTTTGAAGAGGTGCATATAATTTTGATATAATACACATTTTTCACTTGTAATCACTCACCATAATATAAGTTAATATTTCAGTATTCATTTAACATGTTTATTTAATCTGTGACAAACTAGTTATATTGAAGTTCTATTATGGAAATAATAAGTTGGACTATAATACAACTGTATTTTTGAGATCTGTTTTCATAACTAGGGCTATTTAAATATTTTTTATGGCAAAAGCTTTCAATTTGAGAGAAAAAAAAATACCTTCCCACCATGGTCCTTGGGAAAATATTACTCAGATTTGGTACAAAATTAGAGGCATGTATGTAATAGAAGTTATATGTAAAAATCTACTGCCTGGTGTGTACACCTTTTGGCAAAAAAAGAGATTTGGTTTTACTCTTTACTCATGACTTCTTGAGTTTTCTGTATTCAGTCTCAATTTGCAGAGGAAAACTACCCATGCAATTTAAAAGTAAGTTTGATATGTATTATGTGTATATTTGTGACACAAAGCATATACATCAGTGATTACTTCTAACCATTTTCATCTCTATTTGTTGTTATCATGGAATAGACTTATTAAAAGCTCTAGTGATGGTCACAGTTAGAATGCTGATGAGTGTTTTGGGAAATGAGGAAGAAAGCTTTATAAAATACTAAACAAAATTTGGGTTTTTATCTTCTAATGGTAACTTTTTAAAAAAATATATAGTTCATTTAACAGAAAACATCTACTATCAAATGATTAGGTATAATAGAAAAATTGTATATAATGTATAGTGGTTTCTTAAATGGTACAAAGTCAACTTGCTGTAGTTATTTTCATATTGAAATTGAATGTCACACATTTCCTTTATTCTATTAAAAAAGTTCCTACAGAAGATACCATTAATTTGCATTGAGTATTATTATGTTTCCTGTTTCAATGTAACATTTTAGAGTATTTTTATATTTTTATTATATTTTTTTAAATGGAGGTAGTGTTTGGTTTACATCATTGTTTGTATTTTGGAAAGAGAGTGTTCTCCATTTCATGTATTATCACCATAGTGCAGCCCCACCAGAGCACCCATTGTCTACCACCCTGGTCCATCATATTCCCCCCTAATTTGGATTCTTCTCCACCTCTCCCTTTCTCCTCCCTCCCCATCTGGATTCTACATCCTATTATCAGATTTTAAGTTTGATTTTATCTTACCCTTTGATGTTTCTATATTCTACCATTATAAGTGATACCATTGGTATTTACCCTTCTCCTTCTGACTTATTTTGCTTAGTATCATCCCTTCCAACTCTACCAGTGTTACCATGAGTAGCATAAATTTGTCTTTTTTGATTGCCAAGTAGTATTCTATTATGTATAAAACCATAGCTTCCTGATCCACTACTCTGTTTTGGGGCATTTAGGTGGTTCCCATGTCTTAGCTATTGTAAATAGTGCTGCTATGAACATGGGAGTGCTGGTTTCCCTTCACATCAGTGTTGTTGTGTTCTTTGGGCAGATTCCTAGGAGTGGAATTGCTGGGTGATATGGCAGTCTCTTTTAAGTACTCTGATTGTCCTGACTCCAGAAAGAAGGAGATAAGCCATGCTATTGTTAGGAGGAAAGGATTTCCTGAGAAAATTCCATACATGCTTTGAGGACTCCATCCCCACTCCATCAAGATACTGGAAACTACAAATCCCATGATCCCCCAAAGGGTGGTTGCGAGGACCTGAGGGCGGAGTTAAGCGGCCATGTTTTTCTTTTTGAGAATATAACCAGCCATGTGAGTGGGGTCTCTCTTTCTTGGCTTGTGCTCTTGGCCAGGCAATGATTGGTCTTGGTGGGTCATTTTGGATTCCAGGTCAGCAGAACAGGTCGGACACATTTAAGAATTTATCTCCCTCTTTTTCTCCCTGAGTTATTCATTTCCTTATTTCTCTTTTCCTTGTAAAAAAAAAAATAATCCTTTGATTAACCTTTTGTGTGTGCCTGCAGTTTAAGTCCCCTTTAAGCATGCAGATGAGGATCCACAGCCAGGCAACCCATTTTATATCAGGGTTGCCCTGTAACAATATGATCTCAGGTGATAGGCAAGTCCAGTGTTGGAGCTATATGACTTTGCACAATCGTCTACAGCTCTGTAGCACCTTTGCTGCCTTTTGTGATGTGATACAGACATCTCGTGATGCTGGTGAAGCTACTATCTGCATGCTTCTGAGCTTTCCCAGTCCCCTTAGAACTGTTTAGAGCCATTTCCTCTCACTTGGCTCATCTATTTCATCTCCAACCTTCAAAATGGGCAACCTGTTATGATTTGCTGTGATGTGACACCTCATCCCTGCCACCAAAAGAAGCTGTTTCCCACAATAATGACAAGTAAACATTTCCTGTTTGCAGTCCTCCAGTTTTTTTAAAGCCCTCTGTGGTCTTCCTTCCCATTGCCTGGCAGGTAGGACAGGAGATGCTGCCCATATCCATGATTTCAAAGTACCATTGCTCCTCCAAACTGCTTTCTGCATAAGCTGATGGTTCCTTCCCAACATGATGAGCTTGGGATGTGGGATCAGTATGAGTTTTAGGCCATTGCTTCCTCCCATAAAGTTTATGCTGCTTCTGAGGAAATTTTCAATATATTTCATCTTCTTCCTGCTGGGGTTTTCTTTTCTTTTTTTCCCTTGTCTGGTTTTTCTTTTTTTTTTTTCCTTTTTTTTAAAAGATTTATTTATTTATGCATACAAGAACTGGGGTATAGGCCAAAGGTGTGGGGGTGGTGGTTAGATGATTCACCAGAGAGAGTGGGGAACTGAACAGGCAGAGTGACTGAAATACACTGCTGAGAGCAGCAGTGGGTGAGTCAGGAGAGGTCTGCTGCGCCATGTGGGTGCCGGGGATCAAACTCATGCTTCAGTGGCTGCAGATAGCTTCATAGGTTGCATCTTAAATCCTTGCCCACCAGGGAGGCCTGTCTGGGTTTTCTTTTACCTTTGATTGACATCCACCGGACCTTTCAACATGGAATGAGGCAGTTGGCTTGATTCTTCTCATCTTCATTTTTAATAGGTAGATTTTTGGGAAGATTGCTGGGAAATCACTCACTGGTTCACATGAAGAGACAGATGATGAGCTGATTAAGGAGTCATCATGAAGGAGAGTGTGCTGGAAACAGTTATCCGTCCCGGAGCACTGCATCCTAATCTTGGCTCCCACGATCCTTGTGCTCCTCTGCTGTAAGAATATGGGTCCCAGCGTGGTGGGTGCTGTACCAAGTCTGGAAGACTTCACTCCCTTTCCATGCCTGACAGACTCACCCCCATTTAAGAATATTTTGAACACTTAAGATCTATTTAAGGAAAAAAGGAAGCTTAAAATTTAGTGTTTTTGGAAATGTACACTTTTTTTTAAAGATTTATTTATACAAGTACTGGGTACAGTCAGAAGTGCGGGAGGGTGAGAGAATTCACCAGAGCCAGAGCAGGGAACAGAACAGGCAGACTGACGAAATACACTGCTGAGGGGAGCAGTGGGTGCGGCAGGAGAGGTCTGTCGCACCGTGTGGGACCCTTGCTGGTGGCCGGGGATGGAACCAGTGCTGCAGAAGCTGCAGGCAGCTTCGCAGCCCAGCGCTTAACCGCTGCGCCACCAGGGGAGGCCCAGAAATGTATACTTTTTTAATGAAAGTACTTGTATATAGTTTTCAAAATTATTTTACTGACCTCAAATTATTTAAGTTTTTATTTTTTACAGACCTCTTAATAAAATGATTCTATTTCATCACCTGTAGTATACAGTGCTGCTTTAATTGGTTGCTATCATCAAGCAGTTTCACAAAGTATTGTTAATATTTTTAGTTACTAAAAATTTTCATAGTGTGTAGTATTATGTGAGAATTTTCACTGAAATCCTACTCTGGCTTTTAAAATGTGTTCCCTTGTTACTGTGTTAGTTGGCTTTTAAATTCAGGTACTTTATATTTGTTTTTTTGTTTGGACCATCTCCAGGTTTTGTGGCTTTTCATTTCGTGGTATACTTCACATGTACACGTTAATTACATTTTGATGTTGGGTAGATTGTTTGTGAATTGCTATTTCAACCATGTAACTCAAAGAATGGTATTCCCTTATATACAAGATGACCATATGTTCAGTCATATCATTTTTGGTGGGTTGAAAATCACTGTGGAATAAGTTAGAAGAGTTTCTTGCATATGTGGATGTGAAAGTTTGAGAACTACTGTATATGAAGCAAGTCACAGTGCTTGGCGGCAATCCGTAGCTTGGGTTACAGAATTTCTTATGTGGAACATGAGCTTAAGGTTAGGAAAAATGCTTTCCCTACTTTAAGACTCCAAACCCAACTTTCTTTAGCTATGACCATTAAAGTATTTGGCCCCCCACCCCTAAGATTTGAAAAAAGCAAACTCCTCACTATCACTGTTGTTAATGAAATATGTAGAAGAATATTTCTGTATAACTTTCTCAGCTCCATCATCATTTAGTCCTATTTATTGCCCCACATTGGCTATTAAAAACATGATCTTGTTTTAAGTTTGTGATTTTAAGTAAAAAATTAGGTTTGACTTTGGACACACAAATGTTTTATATAACCATAATTTTATAGAACTAAATTTATAAAATCTGTGAAGATTTATTCCTTTAAAATAGGTAAATGTGGATATTTTCATAGATAATGTTTTAGATGTAATGAAATTTTATGTTGAATTGTGTACCATCAGCATAGATTCACTACCTGGTAATTTGTTCAACCTGAATTTTTAGCTCCTAGGCTAGCTTAAAGTATATTCTCCCTTCTTTTATTCCCCCAACTTCTTGAGGTGTCATTGATAGATAACTGTAAGATGCTTAAAATGTATAATATGATGATTTGCTGTATGTTGTGAAAAGATTTCCTCCCATCAAGTTCATTAATACATTTATTACCTCATATACTACCTTTATTTCTTCTTGTTTTCTTTTTGGTAAGATTATTTTCTCTATCCTAGCAAATTTTAATTATATAATACAGTGTTAGCAACTCTAGTCATCATGTCCTCCATCCTTTCTCTTCACATTTTCCTCTTCCATTCTAGTCTCCTCCAGCTCCCCCTCTGACACCCTCATTGTCCTCTTTCTTTTTTTTAACTATCTTTGTCCTGTATGCTAGTGTTCTGTTTTTAATATTTGTAAATTATTCATGCATCCTTGCATAGGCATTATTCTTTATAGAAGATCCTGTGGTGGTCTTAACAGTTTACAATTTCACATTTTAAAAAATTGTACAGGAAATCAGGCAGTGCTCCATGATTTTTGCACCATGATGATAACTTGGTTCCCTTATTCTATTTTGAAAAAGCACATGAGGGGAAAGATGGCAGCCAGACAGGACCCTTGAATCGGTGCTTCCCTCAGGAATACTGATAAATGCTTGGAGGGAGCAGCCACATTTAGAATGAAGCTGGATAAATGTGAGGACCAGTGTCTCAGCAAGAAGGAGAGCCAGAAACCATCAGAAAGAGAAGGAGAGACTGAGAAACAGTGAGTCAGGGACTTGCCAGTACACAGGGAGGATATTGGCCCTTCTCCCAACAATCGCCTAGGCTCCCCCGCAAGCTTGGGAAGGAGAAAGTGTAATTTACTATGAGAGCATAACGTGGTCAACAGTTCAACAAAATATACCAGGCGACTGGGTCTGGGTTGACTGTGGAAAGAGCCAGAGCCACATGGTCATCCCTGGCATAGTCCCTGGGCTCCCAGGAGTGTCTGTGATTGCCCTGGGGAGCCTGGGAACACACTTACCCACCTCCTCTACTTCCCCCATACCCCTAACACACCCACGGTACCTGTTGGACCTCGTCTTTGCACTGTCGGAGGCTACAGGAGGCCATAGTGAACTTTGCTA